CCCCCCTTTCCAATAACAACATCAGTAGGAGAAGAAAAAATGAAACTGTCATATAATGAGGAAGGAAAATAATCAAAAAGTTAACTTTTTGGGTTGTAGAGCAAAGCTGATGCTTTTGAGTACGCTGACACTGTTCTGGAGAAGTGGTATCCAAGTGTTGAACAAGGAAATGACAAGGGTATAGTTGTGCTCGTTACAAGTCAAAAGGAAGGAGCGATAACTGGTGGTCCTGAATTTGTAAAGGCTGTTGGAGACACTGTTCTTGATGCTGCCGTCTCAGAGAACCTTCCAGGTAGGCAACACTTCCTTTCTATTCCTTATTGTTTTGGGCGTGTTGATTAATTGATTTCCAACTGAACGGATTATTGGCAAGAAGTAAGAATAACAATCTCGGTAAGGACATTAACTATAGTACAGAGAATTATAATGTGAGAGAATATTACTTTGCATAGATGCTACTAGGTTAAAGAAGTTCTAATGCTCTTCGTCAACATTAACAGCGGCATTTAAACAATTTAGTGAGTTTGATAAATGCTTGATTTTCTAGTCTTAGGTCTTAGCTGCTAGAAAAGCTGTTTCCTTGTCATGTCTATGGAGTTACAAGCAGTACCTAGAAACACAAACTGCAAAAGAGTAACTTAGTTGTTTATATATTCGTAACGATCTTGAGGCAATCTAATGGAGGAATGAGGATTTTTCCTTACTAGTTATTCAGTTTATGCAATAAGAATTGTTTAACAAGAATTATTCTAGTTGGATGGCAATGACGTGTAAACATGCAAGAAATGGAAACATATCCATTTCTTCTCCCTACTCTTTTTTTTCCATTAAACTTCGCTGAGGAGCATATTCTATGGTAGCAGGATTTGCTTCTCTTCTATTTTGTCATGAGATCTCATTATTGTGGAAAATTTTCCTTCATTCAAGGAATCTTTCTTTAACATGGACCTGCTAGGTAAGTATGCATTAAGATAGTTTTTGCGGTCCCATTAAAGTACCAAGAAGGTTGAAAGTCTTTGTCTTGAAGTATTACTGGAGAATACCCCTTCATAATCTTGAATATCATGACAACTAAACAAAAACGACAAAGGTCAGGTATCACTTTGATTCTTATGTTGTATTTCGAGATTAACTACAAATTACCAGGCTGCTAATAAAGGTGAAAAGACTATTTAGTGGCTTGAAATCAAGTCTGAGTAGCTAGATTCCACAACAAGTGGAAGGTATGGACGAGTAGTTTTTTGAAGAGTGAATTTGATCCTACAGTTGTCATTTTTGTTTAAAAAATGCACACTGGAAAAGGAAGCTTGTCAGCTTATTGACTAAGAGATCAGACCACTCTTGTTGTTTTAAGTTTTAACTAGTCATTAACGGTAGGGTTAATTAGTACTCTTCTGGTAAGTGTTGCGAAAAATATGTTTTAAGTTTTAACTAGTCATTAACGGTAGGGTTAATTAGTACTCTTCTGGTAAGTGTTGCGAAAAATATGGGGGTTAAGAAGTCGTTGCTTGCTACTGCTATCTACTTCGCGATCTTTCACTGATCCATTCTTTAACTTCCCTCTTTAGTTGGTCCATGGGGCTTATGAGTGTTCACTAACTTGCAGTACACTTTTAAGAGGCAACCTTGCTTACAAGTTAAAAGAAGAAAGTGGAAGATCTCTCTATTTCAGTTGTATATATAGGAGAATTAACGACTCCAGAGCAATTATCTTTTGTTTCATAAATGAAACTTGTATGCTAATGCTCTTGTTTCTGATGGTGGGGCTATTGGTTTCAATGTTTGTAGTCTTGGCTACTGAAGAGAAGTACAATGAAGCCATTTACAGCACTGCCAAACGTCTTGTTGCGGCCATTGATGGCCTTCCTGATCCTGGTGGTCCCCAGCTCAAGGATAACAAAAGAGAGTCCAACTTCAAATCCAGAGAGGAAACAGACGAGAAAAGAGGACAATTCACACTTGTCGTTGGTGGCTTGTTAGTGATTGCTTTTGTTGTTCCCATGGCTCAATACTATGCATATGTTTCAAAGAAGTGAACTGTCTGATTCTGGAAGGTTTCATTTTGACTTGAGTAAGCATGTATATTATCTTGTACAAATGGTCTATTTTGAAATGACTGATTCATGAGAAATTTTAAAAAGGATAAAAATGAAAATTTTGGACCTCCCCGAACACAAGGGATATTACCATTTCTTTTTATGAGAGTAGAGAAACTTCCCTATTGCATTGCTGATAATATAAAGGGGGATTTAGTGTGGTACATTTCATCACATGATCGATAAGCTGTTCTATATTTTCAGGCATTCATGGAAGTGATGAATTTCATTAATAAATCAGAATATTTAAGTACTATACAGAGAATAAAACAATGACAAGCATGTTAATTCCTCAGAACTTAAGTTTAAGAAGGAAAGGCATCTTGTCTGCAAAGGGTGGATCGGAGTATTTTCCGGTGAGAATTTGTGAGGCAACAAACTGGTTTGCAGTTTCTGTGTAGTGAATTCCATCCCAATTGATATATTCACTACTGTCATTGCATGCTTTGGCTGTGACATTGTTTCCATCCAACACCTTTGTCTGACCACAGGCAACCCTGCTGTCATAGTTGAGTGGAGGTCCTCCATATCCACAACAAGCCATTAAGGGCTGCTCAAATCCTGCAATAAATAAAAGCAAAAGATCAAATGTTAAATAAAGTTCATATGACATTGATGAAGTACAATTTTCGTAACTTCATTTAGTTCTCAAAAATTCTAAAATCCCAAAGAAATTGCACACTATAATTTATTCTTTTTCGCATTTTGAGTAAAGAAAATTACCATATCGGGAATAATTTGCTATCAGATTAGATTTGATGGTGAAAATATCGACATGAGTGATATTTGCATCTGCATACTGGCTCTGCAGCTTCTTGCAAAGGGCGTAAAGCTGCAGGTTCAAAATTTTTGCAGCTTGATTATGTGAGCTAACACATCCTAGCTCATCCAACTTTGATGAATCGGTTCCAAATTTGGCTATATTCTGACCTAAGCACCCCAAAGGACCTGTGTTATGAACCCAGAAATTCCTGGCTCCTAGGTCATACAATCTCTGTGATGTCAAAAAGGAAGCAGAAATAAGTTTAGAACTTCATTTCATAATAACTACAGGAGTTCTGCATAATTTTTCTGTTACTGTTAGAATTGACCTTGACACCATCTTCAAATTCTACGAGAATTGTTGGAATTGAAGCTAGAATTTGATCCAATGTCTTGGAGTAAAATCCACCAGCAAGATCATTCTGGCCTATATCAAACATGTAAAGACCTTTCTGGAAAAAATCTTGAGCTGGAACATACTTATCATATTTCCTGGCTGCAAAGAAAATTAAAATAAAATATCACCAGATATAGGATTCTGATGTTATGTAAAAGGAGTTCTGATAGTCAAAACATGACCAAACTTACTCTTAGCTTGGATTTCGAGAACCCGATTCTTGAACCTGAAAAACTGAGCAACTTGAATCCCAAATGAAAAAGGGCTAACAGATGATGCAGTGGCAGGAAGTATAGTTGAACCAGCAGCAGCAAAGTTAGCTCCTTTTCTGAAAGTTGGTGCACCAATGGAATCCAAGTAGGAGTTCAAGAATGGTAGGTCCATTGCATCCACTGCAACAATAATGCATAACCAAAAGAAACACCAGAATATCAATATAAACTTGAAATGAAGATCATTTCCCCCTAAAAGAAAAAATGGCACATTAAATTGGGAAGCTTACTCAAGAAATCGATGATTAGCCGTCCATCACAGAACCTCCCAGATGGTTTCTGGAAATAAGTCTGTCCATTAGGTGGCTCCAGGCGATCTCCAACACCTGCAACAAGGCCTCCTGTATCAGAATTTGAATCACCAAAGTTGAAGACTGCAGGGTAATTGAAATCTATGGTGTTGGCCAGAGGCAAGCAGATGAAGAAGAGGGCAAGAATATGGAGGAAACAAGTGGTTGAAGAAGCCATGTTTGTTTCCCCTTTGACAGAAAGATTGGATTTTTCATCCTCTTAAAATAAGAGCTGGTGGGCTTTTGTTTCAATTTCAAGTTATCTTTGAGATGTGGGAAAGGTTAAAAGATTGTGAATTGGTTGTTGTTCAATTACTTACATATCCTTCAAGATAATGGATGCTATGATTAGAAGTGTTTCCATTAACGAGAAAACAGATTGATAAGGACATTTTCCCTGTAATCAATCTGGTAAAAGTTGTCATTTTCTATGTTCTTTTCTCTAACCACTGATAAAATACTCAGCTGAGAAAAACTGGCAATATAGTTCTGTGACAAATACATTTTAAAAAGTCAGTGCATTCAATTCAGATGTCATGTTTTACTCAATCTTGGTCAGGAATGTAGTATGAAAGTTGCTTGTCTTCAACGTATCTCTATGAATAGCATTGTCGTTTCCTTTTTTTCTTGGCTTCCCAAGTGTAATATTTCTACTTTTAAACATTTAATAGTGAAGGATTTGAAGAGATCTAATTTTGAGAAAATATCGTATATTTTCTGTATTGATGATTTCATGTCACTGTACATTGTACTATTTATCAGCTGAAAAGGAATCTAGGAAATAACCATCTATATATTTGTCTCTATTCTATTAGCTACTCTATAACTAATCACATGCTATTTACAATAACAATAAAAGAATATATGAAATGGATAAGCTTGTAAAATGAATAAGCCTAATAAGGCTAATAAGGCTTTATCTTTAGCTGGCCCAAACAATAATAATCCGCCTAACAATAGTGATCCAAAGCTGAACATTATTAGAAGCCCAATATCCGGTAGGCCCAGCTGTTTGTCCAAAAAGAGATTCAGACAGCATCAAATGTATCGAAGACCACTTTACTCTTCATCTTCATCTCTTCTTTACTTTCTTTTTCTTTCCCTTGTATAGTTCCATGAATCATAAGATTAGGATGGGGTTTCTTCTTCTTAACATCCCCCCTCAAGTTAGAAGGTAACCGTGTGACCCCTAACTTGCTTAAAATCTGTGAATGAGAAACCCCTGAAAGTGGCTTAGTGAAGAGATCCGCCAATTGATCTTTAGAGGGAACAAAGGACATACTGATTAGCCCAGAGAGAAATTGTTGACAGACAAAATGACAATCGATTTCCACATGTTTGGTCCTTTCATGAAAAACGGGATTACGAGCGATATGGATAGCTGCTTTGCTATCAGAGTGAAGTGGAATGGGAAGAGCTACTGGGGCAGAGAGACCTTCAAGGAGTTGAACAAGCCAAGTAAGTTCTGCTGTAACTCGTCTCATAGATTTATATTCCGCCTCTGCTGATGATAAAGATACTGAAACTTGTTTCTTTGATTTCCAGGAAATGGGGGCTCCTCCAAGTGTGATGAAATAACCACTTACAGATCTTCTGGATTCTTTACAAGAAGCCCAATCTGCATCGCAAAATGCAAGCAGAGAAAAAGATGGTGTTGGTGAAAGGAGAATACCCTGACCCGGATCTGCACTCAAATACTTCAAGACTCTCAATGCAGCAGTGAAATGAGAAATACATGGCCTCTGCATGTACTGACTGAGAGAAAGAACTGCAAAGGAGAGATCTGGACGAGTATTGGTCAAGTAATTTAATTTTCCAACTAAATGACGAAAAACTGTGGGATTTGCCAAAGGTCGTCCATCATCAGAAACAAGCTTGTAGGAGGGATCCAGGGGAGAGCTAACTGATTTCAAATGAGAGACATCAAATTTTTGGAGCATATCTAAGGTAAATTTCCTTTGATTCATAGTCAAACCTTCTTTTTCTCGCAAAATTTCCATTCCTAGAAAATAGTGTATGTCCCCTAGATCTTTGATCTTGAATTCAGTATTGAGAAAACCTTTGATATGCTGAATTTCTTCTAGATCATTCCCAGTAAGTAGGATATCATGTGCATACACTGCTAGGATAGAAATTAGTTCTCCTGTACGTTTAAAGAATAAAGAATAATCATTTAATGATGATGAATATCCTTTAAAACTTAAAGCTCCATCAAGTCTGGCATACCATTGCCTAGAAGCTTGCTTCAAACCATACAATGATTTTCTGAGAAGGCATACATGTTTAGAACTAGGAGGTTAATACCTGAAGGAAACTTCATGTATACTTCTTCCTGAAGGTCTCCATGCAAGAATGCATTGTTGACATCCAATTGAGAGACATTCCAATCTTTCTTGGCTGCTATAGTAAGCAAACATCTTATAGTTGTCATTTTCACAACTGGTGAAAAAGTCTCACTATAGTCTATCCCTTCTCTTTGAACATCCCCCCTGACCACTAGCCTTGCTTTCAATCTTTCAACCCTTCTATCTGAGAGATGCTTTACCTTATATACCCACTTGCAAGGTAGAGCCCTTTTTCCTTTAGGCAATTCAACCACATCCCATGTGTTATTGTCTTCCAGTGCCTTGATTTCTGATTCCATTGCCTCTACCCAACCTGGATGTTGACGAGCTTGAGAAAAAGTAGTAGGCTCAGTGATTGTAGAAAGGGATTGTATGATGTGTTGATTATTAGGTGAAAGAGAGGAAAAACAGTATTGTCTAGGTTTACTTGGTTGATGGAAGCAAATAGCTTCCACATCTGTGAACATGATGTTGTTGCACACATAATCCTTCAAGTAGACTGGTTGTTTGGATACCCTTCCTGATTTTCTTACTGGTGTGGGCTGTTGAGATGCTTGGGTAGGTGAGGAGAGGTGTGTTGTATCTAGAATAGGTTGAAAAAGGGCTGGACTAGAAGACTGTTGTGAGGAAGACCTTTGAGTGTAGGTATGTGGAGATGGAGGTGAGGAAGAACTATCAGAATTCTCAGGTTCCAAAAGAATGGGTGAGATTTGATCTTCTGATGGTTGTGGATGTGTAGTTTCTGTGGTAAGGGTTGGATTTGAAAAAATGGGTTGACAAGTAGACTTATTCTCAGCAAAAGGGAAATATGATTCATGAAATTTCACATCCCTTGACACAAATACTTTTCCTGTTTTCAACTCCAACAGTTTGTATCCTTTCTGATGAATAGGATACCCAAATAAGACACAAGATGTTGCCCTCTCATCAAATTTCCCCCTTCCTTGTGCCAGTGTTGAAGCATAACAAAGACAACCAAAATTCCTAAAGTAATCATACT